AAAGTAAAAAACACTGAATCAATCGTGTTATTGTTTTACTAGTGTTATGTGAACAAAGGACAGAATGTTGCGATAAATATAGATATTTTTCATTTTATATCTCTATATGTATGTTCTTTTGTGTATTACAATGCTGTTTTAATGATAATGGTATATAAAAATAAGGCTTTGACCGATAATGGTAATACGATGAGTAAGATGTGAAGAACATTTAAATATTTATTTTGGTAACAAATGGAAAACTTTATTTTTATTATTTTTATTCATATCTATCAGAATTTACATAGCATTTCCCGTGGATTAGTTGGTAGAGCTATGGGTTTTGAATCAAATGTTCCAGATTCGATACGTGTCTCGGACTACCTTCTCCCAAGGAGAAATTAGTTTTTACCAGGAAATCCGATTTCCTAATTTTGTTTTCTCGATGTTTCAAGTCATTCTGAATTGTTTGAAACCAAACTTGGGAGAAGTATGTGTATGCATTGTTTCTCAAAATCGGCTAAACCGATTTTAAAAGGTTTTATCGACTAGCGTTTATCAGTTTTTTGCGCGATGATCGGTCAAGCCGTTCCTTTATTTAAAAAAATTGTACACATTTTAGCCAATAGATTTTGAATGTTCAACAATTGTTTGGAAAATATTGGTTAGAAATTTCGTTGATGAGTTTTTGTTAAAGAAAAATGAGTGTATTTTCGACGATTTTGATGAAACTTTCTATGACGTTAGGTATTGTAGTCTGAAATAACGTACTAAAATATTATAGGCCTACGATAAGCGGTTGAATTATATAAAATTATCAAAGTTTTAAATTTCTCCCTAAAATTCTAATCAGAATCTGTGCCTAAGCATATGCACGTTCTGTGCTGTTTCGTTGATAGTTACTGATTACAGTTTACTAACTCTAGTTCACTTTATTAAAATAGAATATATTCTCAGACAAAAATTAGATGAAACAAATGCTACTGATTACAGTTTACGTCCACTTTAATAAAATTGAATATATTCTCAGACAAAGTATATGAAACAAATGCTACTGATTACAGTTTACGCCTACTTTAATAAAATAGAATACATTCTGAGACAAAAAATTGATGAAACAAATGCTACTGGTTTCAGTTAACGTTCATAGTTAAATCGAATAAAATACATTTTTAGAACACAAAATAGATAAAACAAAAGCTACTGATTACAGTTACGTCCACACTTAAATAAAATAAAATATATTTTTAGAAAAAAATAGATGAAACAAAAGCTACTGATTATAGTTTACATTAACTTTAATAAAATGGAATACATTTTCAGACAAAAAATATATGAAACAAAAGCTACTGGTTACAGTTAACGTTCATACATAAATCAAATACATTTTTGAATCGCGAAATGACTAAAATGAAATACATTGAACAAATTAGTTTAATTTATACAATTTCAGATATTATAGGTACGTTACAAAGATAACAATTGAAAAATGTATTGATTATTTCTTAGGGCAAGCGAAAACTTTATTTTGGAAACAAACAGTTTAATTTTATCTAAAAAGTTAATTTTTAGTCGATAATTTATCGGTATTTATGGTGAAGTTCATGGCTTGCTTTAAAGCAAAATGCCACTCACATCTATGTCTTGATCATTTTTTTGATATTTCTATTAACTGAAATACCCAAAAAGTAATAAAAATTCTTATTTTTAATGTTCTCAACTATAATTATCAACTTTTCTTAATTCAATTATTTACATCCATGACTAACACAACTTTTAAAAAAATCATAAAAACTTGTTGACCACAATCAATTTTTCTGTTATTCAATTAAAAAACGATTTAAAATTATGAATCTATTTTTTGCATCTTTATTCACATCGTTTATTTCAATCAGACTGCCGAACAATAAAAAAAAGTAATCTGCATGACTATCGATTTTCAGTGGGAACTTTCACATAAAGTTCACACGGGTCGGTGTAATAGATTAACCTCTTAATATGAGGAATTAGTAAGAGAAATGAATTACATTTAAAAAACAGGGATGATTCAAATATAATAAGGAACTAGTGGTGTATGACATCATATGATGATGCCAATTTTAAGTATTTGGGCTCTCGTGGCCTAGTGGTTAGGACTTTGGACATCAAATTAGTGGTTCTAGGTTTGATACCCTTTTTGGACATCCTAATGTCAAGTAGTAGTGATTTCTATAGACAGCAATATGACCTTACACGGCGACAATAGACCTTACACGGTATTGCTGCATCAATAAAATAACACAATAAAATCAATAACTAGTACCTTAATGCTGGAACTTCCCGTACCGTAACGAAATGTTCGAGGAACATCAAATGTTTTCAAATACATTATTATAAATATTGTAACATTGTCTAATATTCATAAGAATTATATAAACTGAATTGCAAAGTTGAAATTATTTGTTTAAAGTATATTAGAACTTTAGTCAGAATAAAAAATAAAATCTGAATTATTTTCGATATACAAAAAAAATTTTTCTGAAAAAAAAAGTTGAAACAATTTTTTTTTTCTAAATCAATTATTTTGTTAAGACAAGCAGAAAGTTTTTTGAATCATTCAAATCGGACGCTTAGTTCTCTCAAAAACTGCCATTTTTTACACATTTAGCTCCGTATTTTCGAAATGACTGGGCCTGCCTCTGCCAAAAACTAATAAACACTTCTCCCAATCATTACTAATTGAATGTTTTTAGATCATTCAAATTGGATGCTCCGTTCTCTCAAATACTAAATTTCTATTTTCTGCACTCTTTGCTCTTTATCTCCGTAATTGCTGGACCTGCTTTTGCCAAAAACTAATCAGCACATCTTAATTCCTATTAATAGGAATCGAATGTTTTTTGAACTATTCAAATCGGTTGATCCGTGCGCCCGAAAACGGGACTGGAAATTTGTATCCATACATACACACACACACACACACATACACACATCCACTTTTTCTGAGGTATGCCAAAATGTTCATAAACCTTCAAAACGTCGAGAAATGTAAAAATTTTCAATTTCGATTTTCGGCCCATTACAATAACTTACCCTACGGGAAGTTAAAACTTATATTTTATTAAAAATAACCCTCAGTGCACATGGTTAATGGAATTTTATGTTACATTTACAAAATTATACGGTAAAAACTTATATTTTATTAAAAATAACCCTTAGTGCACATGGTTAATGGAATTTCATGTTAAATTTACAAAAATAACTGTAAAAACTTATATTTTATTAAAATAACCCTCAGTGCACATGGTGAATGGAATTTCATGTTAAATTTACGTAATTAAACGGTAAAAACTTATTTTTTACTAAAAATCACCCTCAGTGTACATGGGTTAATGCAATTTTATGTTAAATTTACAAAATTAAACGGCAGCAACGCTATCTTATGCTGTTTTATTGGTAGTGAAACTGTGAAAATGTCTGTCTATTTGCCGCACAATCAGGCGTATTTTACATATAAACAAACAAGAAGGAATCTTATGATAACAGAACTTCGATAATGCAGTTTTCATAACATTCTTCCCTGTTTGTTTAAATATAAAATACGCCTGATCGCACTGCAAATAGATTGACATTTTAATAATTTTCACTACCAAGAACAAGCATAGCATAACGTTGTCATAACAATGCTATGTTATGAGCTCTGTTATGACAGAATTGCCCTATTAGAGTCCATGTCTCCGATCCGTATAGAGCTATGCTCTAGACATAGCACTTTATTAGTCTCTTACGAAAGTAGAGATTCAGTTTGCTCGTCAGTAGCGTTCTCTTTTTCGTGTGTGTTTGTGCGTGTGTATATATATATATATATATATATATATATATATATATATATATAACTAATGAATAAGACTGTTTTGAGCCTCTCTTCTCCCCGAGAGGCTACCAAAAAATTATGCTAGACTCATTAGCAAACAGATTACAATAATTTTCTGCTCGCTAATGACAAAGCGCAAGTGAGTGCCGAATCGAAGAAACCGATCCAAATTTATCAAATACCAGCAGTATAATAAAGCGCGAGTTAGAAAACCCATATTCTTACAGTGCCGAAGAAATTAATATTAACACAAGATGTATGATTTTTCCTAATTTCTTTGATAAAATATTGTTAATATCGATTCAATTTACATGATTTTTAAGTTTTCAAGTTTTTGCCAGAAAATCTGACTTGCTTATACTATGTTTTCTCGACGTTTTGCGTCATTCTGAATCGTTTGAGACCAAAATTGTGTGTATATGAGTCGATTATTGACCTTTCGTCGAAGGTTTCTCAAAAACGGCTGGACCGATTTCAAAAATTTAAAAACCATTCGATGTATCTCGTCAAGGACTAGCGTTTGTTAGTTTAATGCGACGATCAGCTAAGCCGTTTCTTTCTAATTAGCAGATAAGTGTAAGATTTTTTACCTATGTTTTAAACCAAAATCTTGAACCGATTTAAAAAATTTAAAAACGGTTTGAAAGATATTGGTTAGGAGTGGCGTCGATTAGTTTTTGGCAACAATCGGCCGAACCGTTTTTTTGTAATTAAACATAGAAAAAAAATTTTGTCAATTTTGGTGAAACCTTGTATAACGATTTTGTAGTCTGAAATAACATACTAATGCCATTCTAATCAAAATTGATGTGGAAGCTTTTGTATGTTATGTGGTGTCTCTTAGGCTGCTATTGATTACAGCTTACGTTCATAAAATTTAATTTTGGTATAGATTTTAAAAAATTATTTATATGATCTGTTTTAATTTGTTTTCGTTTTTATTCTTTTTATTTGTTGTACAATAGAAATATGATTTTTTCAGAACATCACCTTGTAATTTGATATGGAATTGAGATTAAATATCATATGATTGGCACTGTAAAAATCAATGTTTAATATTTAGTAACCATTCAGGTCTTTAAACAACAAAGTACAAGTTTGTTAAAATTTGTTACTTTTTTGACACACTTTATCATAAAGATTCATATGTATTTTTTTTTCTCTTCAGGTTAGACGTTCATTAAAACTCCGCGGTAGAAGAAAAGAAAAGTTGCCTTCAGGAATCACTGCAGATTATAGTGCATCCTTTTTTGCTCAATTGGAACGAGATAGTCCTTCTGTTGATGGCTCAACTCCAAATAATAATGCCTCTTTAACTACAAATGGTACCGATTTATCTTCAATCAATGGTGGTGGGTCCAGTTTGACCCATAGCAGTTTAGGCAGCAATGCTGGAAGCGCATCTTTACTTACTCACAGTGACAGCTCGGAAGCCTCCTTAAATAGTATCACCAACCAGGTAAATGGACTTAATAATATTAGTTAAAATAATATTCAGCCAATTTGAATTTGCTAAAAATTGACCATCATCTGTGTTGGATTATTCCTATATTTGTGGAATCAGTACTTACTTGGTTTGAATTTTTTTTGTAAATTATATAAATTAATCTAAATTAAATTATGTTATATTTGACACATTGTATAACTATGTCAATTTTCTCTCTATCAGAATTCAATTCGCCAAAGTCTACCTCCAATACCGCCACGACCTCCAAAGCGAGGAATCCTGAAAGGTCCACGCACAAGCCTCACAAATTTATCTGCTGATGCAACTGATCATTCCAGTACTATTCTTGAACAAAACACTATCCAAAATGAATTGATATCTTATCAGAACCTAGAACCAATTTCGTCCAAATTAGAAGTGTATGATACTCTGCCTGTTGGTCATCATCATGCGAACAGCGCGTCTCCAGATAAGCAGATGAATAATCTTCAGGTGATTTAATTTAAACTAATCTTTAAATATTGTGACATATTTATTTAGGTCTTTTGTATTGTTTATTGTGTTACTATATATTTATTATCTTCACTTTTGTTTTCAGGTATTAACTTCAACCTCACCGAGTGCGGAGTCTCTTACATCCACAAACTCAAGTTTTGCAACACCTCCATTTTCTTTAAGTCCTGTTGGAGAATCCCAAGGATACCACAGATGGTCTAGAGTCGCCACATTCGAAGATGTTGATCTTCCACTTCCAGATTTGCCTTCAATAATTCTTCCAGCACCGCGAACATTGACCATTTACCGCCAAAAAGGACCTAAAAATGATTTTGGATTCAGTTTGAGAAGGGCTATGATTTTAGATAAATCTGATTCAAAAGATGCAGAGGGCAAGAAGAATTTTAAGGCTGTTATTTTTGCCGAACCGGGAACTGTGGGAGGAGCTACTGGATTGTTGCCTGGTGATAGATTGTTGGAAGTAAATGGGGTTAAAGTTGAAACCAGGACTCGGGAGGAGGTGATTGAAATGATCAAGTCGAGCGAAGAAAGTGTGACGGTTACGGTAAGTGAAAAAATTTACATTATTATTCATTTAAAAATGTCATTTAATAATATTAAACAATTATCATTATACATTGTAGGTTCAGCCAATCGCTGAATTAGCAGAATTATCAGCGCGGTGTCTCCTGGATATTTCTTCTAAGGTGAATGGAGAAACAGAAAATAGTTATTCTTCAAGTACCTTGAGGAGATCCGCCAGCAAACGATACGACACCAATGTGAGTGATTTTTTTAAACATTTTACAATCGTTTTTTTTTTTGCAAAAATAGATCTATTTAATGCATAAAAATATAAATCAGGCGTTGATTCATTTGTCATTGAGGTAACGTGATATATTTACCGTAATTTATTATTATTATATTTTTTGTCATTATGGTTCTGGAAATCGACATTTCTGGATAATCGTTTTTGTATGGGTATTTAATGATCACTGTAAGCAGTAGAATATTTTCACCTGATGTGATTCAATGATCATCATCCTTTTTATACGCCGAGATCCTATCTATTTTGAATTTGTTATCGGAGGTTTTTTTTTTATTGTTTATTTGTTGACTTTGATACACGTACATTAGTCATATACATTTTATAAGTTATCTTTACAATTTTATTTTATTTGATTGTATATAAATATATAGCGCACTATATATTCCTTTTTTGTCAATAATGTTATAGAATTGGTTAGGAGGGAATTTTTTTACCTTACTATCTTCCTCCATAATGACGTGTTCAGCATCCGCCCTAGTCACTCCACTCATCGGACGGTTGTCGCAAGTTCTACTTCGCGATATATTAAAAATGTTAGATAAAATCATAACTAGCTGTAAGTGGAATTCTGTCTTAAGGCAATTAGGGCATCGTGCCTTAAGGCAAATTGCTGGAACTTCCCGTACCAAAAATTATTATTATTTTTTTAAAACGATTAACATTTTTGAAAAAAAATTACTTTGAAAAAATAAGATTTTTGGAAAACTATAAATTGGACAAAAAATTAGTTTTTTTTGAAAAAAAAAATTTTTTTTTTCTTTATTTTGACATATTGTGGAAGATCTGAACTTTTTTTTCAAAGCAATCGTACTGCTTTAACTACATAGGGACAAAATATAAAGCGCGTAAGCGCCGCGTCGCTGTCTAACGCATAAGCATTGGTACGGAACCGATAGGAATGTTAACAAAATGTATACTTATTGTTAAAATCTCTATAAAATGTCTGATAATTTGATGTGCATATGTCTAATGATCATTTTTTGACCGCCAAATGGCTCATTTTTTTTACTTTTTCCTCTATATCTCCGAAACCGCTGGACCTACCTTCATGAAAGTTGTATCGATTTTTCATCTTGTCAATACAAATAAAATGTTTTTTGAATTATTAAAATCGGACGCTTCGTTCTCTTAAAAACTGAGTTACCGTTTTCGGAACTTTTTGCCCCGTATCTTCGGAACGGCTTGACCTGCCTTTGCCAAAAACTAATCAGCACGTCTCCTTATCAATACGGATCGAATGTTTTTCGAATTATTCAAATCGGTTGATCCGTGTTCCCGAAATCGTCGACGAAAATTTGTATCCGCACATACATACACACACATACATACATACATACACACACATACACACACACACACACACATACATCCATTTTTTCTAAGGTATGCCAAAATGTTCAGAAACCTCTGAAACGTAAAGATATATAAAAATTTTCATTTTCGATTTTTTTGCGATTACTATAACTTGCCCTACGGGAAGTTAATAATGAGAAGCAAGCGACACGGACCGATTGTTATTATGATAAACAGGAGTAACAAATAATTTAAATTTATACCAAATTGTCGTATGAAGATTTTTCATAACATCAGTGCAATAAGTAGATTTTGGATCCTTTTCTGAAAATTTGGTGCCATCAAAACACAATATGAAATTATGAAAAATTTACTGAACCAATAAAATTAACGTTGCGATAATACGAAAATAGACGGTGCTAAAATTAATCTCAATGTACGTTATCTTTTGATATGATAACTCAATGTACGTTATCTTTTGATATGATAACAATTATAAATATTATTTATCTTGCCACACTTCTGTTTGTCTATAACAAACAACAAACAATATCGCGGACACCTTTCTCATATTATCTATGCAGAAACGTACGTGTGTTCTTCTAACGAAATAAATGTTTTGAGGTTCGTTTCTGAGCTGAAGAATTATTAGTGGTAAAACATGATGCTATCTAACGGTCGGTTCAGGAACTTATATTTGTGATTTTAGTTGCAAACTCTCAGGCACAGGTTTGAATTTGAGTACATCCTCGCCTCGCTTTGAGTTTTTTTTTTCAAAATGATTGCTGCTTGATTAGTACTAATTTTTGGGAGTATTTGCAATTTAATTATTTAAACAGAATTTATTTCTTTTCTAAGCGATTATGATAATGAAGATCCTGTATGGCAATTTTGCCGTAACAGAGCCCATAATATAGCGTTGTCATGACAACTCTGTTATGCTTGCTTCTTGGTAGTGAAAACTGTGAAAGTGTCTAAGTTATTTGTTGTGCGATCAGGCGTATTTTACCGATAAACAAGCAAGAAAGAATCTTATGATTACATCATCTACGATGACAATGCTATGTTCGGGGCTGTGTTACCGCAGAATTGCCCCATTTTAGTTGCAAATATTTGAAAATTATTTGAATTTCAAAGAAGTTTTCACAGTTTTATGAGTTACGAGCACATTTATCTCTTTCGCTTCGACGTTGCCTACGACATAACAAATTGTGTGCACGGGTGTCGTCTATAGATGACATCCGCATAACGAACTGTGTGTACGGGTGTCGCCTATAGACGACATCCACAGTATCGACAAGCAAGTTCAATATTTATCACACTGAATTCTTATGTCTTAAAGCAAACATACTGCTAGAATGAATCATTATGCATTTTATATTAGAGTTAATTCTAATAATGGAATGAGAAATACGATTAATTTTAATTTTGGTGGAAATGGCACTTATGAAACTAATTGATTTAAAAGAAAAAAAAACATATATTTTTTGACCCACACATGAAACTATTCTTGACACAAAAGTAATATACTAGTACAAATAATTTTAGTTTTCAAAGAAAACCACTCCTAAATTTATTTTCTTATATAAATTACATACTTATCACTTTAAATTTTTTTTGGATTTTTCTTCTTCTGGGGTGTTTCTGATTTTAAATATAAAAAAAAATAGAAATGAAAAATGTGAATAAAATCGGAGCTGCTTGTGAGGACTGATTTACTGCACAAAATCGATTTTTGCGATAATCCTTGGTATAATTGCGTGGATAAATTGTTACTACATATTTAATATTTATTTATAATTGAAATGATTAACTATAAAATTATTTACTATCATAAAACAGCCAAAATATTTTTATGGTAGAAAAATCCTCGACTACTTGAAGGTCCAGAGCCCGGATTTTCATTTTTTTACGTTTTTCATGTTTTCATTTGCTATTAACATTTTTCGACAGAGCTCTTACTCGCTCAAAGCTCGTATCTCGAATACTACTAGTATGCCGAAGCAACGAATTGCTCTTTTGGCGGCTCGTATCTCGAAAAACTCGTATGTAGGGGCACTCGTACGTCGAGTGCCACTGTATTAGATAATTGATGATTTTTTGATATTTGGTAGTAGATATTTTCTTGAGCACTGTTTTCTATTATACAAGTATTTCTACTTATTGAATGCTTAAACCGATCACTAATTTGTGTCGATAAGCATTAACAATAAATCATTCGATATTGTTTCCAATAGCGTTAATCTTACACACCTTCTTTCTAATCAACTCGACTTATTAACTACCATCGTGATATTTTAATGATACGAAATCAATCGTTCTCACAAAGTATGATTCTAAGTTAATGGCCTATTAATTATATACCTCGTGCTTTTCTTTCACACCCATCTAATATCTAAATACAAATATGTCGATAAATAATATTTATTGCAATCTGTCATTTAATATCATAACGCCATAGTGCACATAGGCCATTATCGTCTAATTGTGTTTGACTAACATTAAAAACGAAAGTGGCTGTTGAAATCACGAAATCATGAATCCATTCATTATGCATACCTTCGCCTCTTTATTATGTGTTGAGTTTATAGTTTCTCAAATGTCTAATGGAAGATTTGAGCATTTGGATTTCTAGCAGATCCAACAAGGATGCAGGATCAGTTGTCTATTGTAAATGAATATTTATTAACCCATGTTCCATTAGGGTATAAATACTAAATTAACTTTTTTTTTCAAATTTGTTGTCTGTCTGTTTGTTTGAGCTAATTTCTAGAACGGCTGGACCGATTTTGACGAGATTTTCATATGCAGGTAGCTGATGCAAATGGGCGTAATCAAATATCATCTTATCTTATCTTACCTCAACTAGGCATACCCGAGGTTTGGTTCGCGTGAAATTTGACAAACTCGTTAATTAGTTTAGGGAACTAACTAAGGGGTTTATTTTTAACTGCATTTAAAAGAAATTCGATTTTGTTTAAAAAAAATCCAAAATTTTTACGATTTTTTTAGGTACTAAAAATACATTTGGGAGAAGGAGAGTAATCTTATACATCACCACATATCGCCAAGGGGGAAGGAGGTGTTCAAAAATCCTTAAAAATTGATTACGTTGAAACAATGTAGCAAACCGTTATTTTGCAGGTAATGGCAAGTAATACAGAAATATGTTGCAAATAGATTCCAATCGGCTCCTTTGGTCAAGTTGGTGTTTTGGTAGGGTAATGAGAGGTTGCACAAAAAATTTTGGGGTAATGGTTCGAAAAGTTTTCCGACCATTGGTATATATGGACAAAATGACATAGTTGCTATATTTAAAAATAACATGAAAAAAACTATAATCACAATCGTATCAGATGTTGAGCGTCATTGTCACAGTGTTGTCGCAGTTCAGTTCAAAGACCTACGAAAGTTTATTGTGAAATTGATTTTGACATGTTTTTGGGGCTTATTAATTGTTACTTGTTATTGTTTTGTAGTTATTTCTATTAAAACCAATGAACTTATGCCAGTACTAGTGATTTCGATCAATTTTATTGCAATAATCAGACATTGATTGGAATTGATGGAATTTTAATGTTTCTTCAAATTTATTCAGTTTTAGACAAAATTATATACTTATGCAATGGATAAAAGGACATAGTTCTATCTCGCGAACAC